CTTCGAACAATATCAATCTTTTATTGAGAATATTAAATCTTTATTTCAATTCGTACATATTACTTCTTTGAATATTGATTTACGTTATTCATCAATTAATTTACTTATTCATTTCATATACAATTTACCTAATCTTAATTCATTGTGTATGTCTTGTTTACCTTTATTAGAAGTGAATATTTCAGCTGACACACAATCAAAACTTCAGTCAATATCGATTAATAATAAAATTACAAAAGTGAATCTTGAAAAGTTGATAGAAATCAAACAACTTCAATTTATCATTAATCTTTGTCAACGTTTGGAATTTTTACAAGTCGAATGTACAAATAATGTAAATATTGAATTGGTGATACGTTTTATTATAATGAGTTATAGAACTAAGTCTCTTCTTTTTATTCATTTATTGTGTCTTCACTTTCCAACAGCAGACCAGAAAATGATTGTAAAAATACAAAAGATAATTGACTCGGAAAAACTGCTTAATGACTATTCAATTAAACGTAATCTTGATAAAATATATTTGCAATGGAAATAAAAACAAATTATTTATTAAAATAAATTGATGTCTTCTTTTACACTCAATAATCAATTAAATCTTGAATGTACTCATTTTGAAATTTTATGAAAACAGATACATATAGACAATCAGATAATAATAGAGAGTGTAGGCGTAGATAAGGAAAAAAATCTACATCAGAGACTAAAACCGAATCGAATTAATCGACAATTTGATTCATCAGTAATCTCTTCCTTAAGCTTACTTCAATGAAGGGATCATGCTCTTTGTATCTGATGATTTTGAAAACTGTATCGATTTCTTTGTGTGAGAATACATGTACAACTGTTTTCATGACTATTCTTCTTTCCACATACCTGGTAGCTTTCAGTCTCTCGTGTGGTATTTATAGCTGCAAATGTTTTACATCGATTTAGTCGACACATCGATAGAATTCTATTACTGATATGGAAATATAACCTCATTCACTAATTGACATAATAACTATCTTTGAAAAGTCTGATTGAAAAATTAAATATCGCTGTTCTCTAATTCAAAGATTCTGGAACCGATTCTACTAAGTTTAGGGGTTATTAACTGCTCTGCAGATTTGGAGATTGATATAGACTTCAACTAAAATTAAAAGTTTGCATATTGATTTTTCTAACATATGCGTCTTTCTCCAAGCAGATGATACTTATAACAACATTAATTACGCAAATTATCAGCAAGAAAAAAATTATTTCATGTTAACAAATTGAAGTTCTAAGATGTACTTTAGTTTCTCTTTGAAGCTGTCAAATTTCTCTAAATTATTAGTTTTAGAGTATAGACAGACGAAAGCTTAAATAAAACTTTATGTGGGGTGTAGATACATTGTACTCATAAAAATGAAGGAATTCTCTTTTTCTTCCGGTACGAACTGAACAGAAGAGAATCCGAGTAGAAATACTGTCAAATCGAGTCGAATGAAAACGAGATTTTCTTATTTCTATCAATCCTTTACACTTTTTATAGAACACAAAGTGAAAAGACTTATAGAATATAGTGTGGGTGTGTGTTGGCGTTAGTGATGGATCACACTAACGCTAAACGATGATTAAGATGCACCTTCTAGTCTAATTGGCTTAGGACAACTGCCCGGATAGCAGAAGGTGTGGGTTCGATCCTCATGAAGGTCATCTTTTTCATCGTTCTATCACATAACATCAGTGACACTGCTGTTCTCTTTCGTTCTAGACATATTAGAGTTATCAGTGTGGGGTGTGGGTGTGGGTGGGTGTGAGTGTTCGTATGGATGAACAGATTACCGACACCTGCACCCACACCCACACCCATAAGAATCAGCTGACCAAGTTGATTATTTGAAAATCTTTTGTGAAAGCTGATTTAAGGAGAATGATTTCTACATCTAACGAAAAAACTGGTAGTTTGCAAAACCACTTTTTCTTATACTTCGAAGCATTCTATCTTCTGATAATACTCTTAAGTGCAGCCGTTTACTTTTTTTTTTCGGTGACTTTTTCAAAAAAAACGGTACAATAGACATCAGAATCACTTATATATTTGTATATAAATTGTTAGAAAATGTGATAGCAATAATGAGAATTCCGTCAAACGATTATAAATAACGAGTATAGGTTGAGCATATAGCAGTTTTAATGTTAATAATAGTTTTTGGTTCAAATTTTTTTGATTTCGTGAAATGTGAATAACAAATGTCACTATTCGTTTAATTGTGAGAAATTCAATCTTTTTCTTTTCCATTAACTTTAATTCGAGAGGTTTAATAGACAATAGGAAATTGTCTTTCTATATTTATTCTTCCAATAAATAGTCTTGATGTATCAAAATAAATTATAAAATTGTTTTGATAAATATCTATATAATGACAGTGTGAAATACCCATTTAAAAAAAAGTAGGCAAAAGCCAACTATTAAGTACCTTCAAAGGCAGGTTTTCAACAAGAAAAGTTACTTATAAGTAAACCTTTTAAAGTACTTTCCATACTTATTGATTAAAAAGTACTCTTAAATACTATTGAAAGTGTAAAAAAGTAATAAAAATAAATTTATTTTTCTGTATTAATACTAAAATTATTTAATAGTATTTTCTTAAATAAAATCTAGTATTAAGTACTTTTGATACTAATACAGAAAAATAAATTTTTCACACTTTCAATAGTACTTAATAGTAAACCCCCCCTCATATTTGAAGACCCCCATATTAGAAGATTCCCCTTGGTCAAAAATTTGAAAAACTTATTAGAGGACCCGAGTTTTTAATCTACCCAGAAAAATTTTCAAAAACTTTTTTCTGTTTTTGAATCTAACAATGCCTGCAAAAGGTTGTCAGCCTCGTCCGATGATTTGGAAATACTCTCTATCCGGTTGAAGGGAACCGACAGAAGCGTGATATTGCACGCGCCTTTTTGAATACTGTCGTTCTCTACATCTCAATATATATTTTTTGTTACTCTAAAACGAGATTATACTAGTCTCAATAAAAAAGAGTTGAGCAATAAGTTCAAACATTAAATTTCATATGTTCATTGGGGGCTTTTCGACTGTTTACCGATTCTTTCGTTGCAATAATTCGTGCTTGGGCGAAAACATCAAAATGACTACGTTTACTGGTAGGAGTCTATAAACTTCTAGTTAAAAATACTATCGGAATTTGGCGTAGTAACTTATAATTATCACTTTAATTTAATTAGAATTTTATGCATGATTTTCGTGAGTATGAATAGGGACCGGATTCGCTGGGAAGTACACTATATGCCACTCATATAATCTACTTTTTACACAGATTTCTGTCGAGTTTTTTCAGATCTAAAGCTTGCAATTTTTTTTGGTACACGTATGTACATCTCTATGCTTTCAAGACCTTTCACAGATTTCTGGGTCCTTCAGTAAATATTAACGTATATTCAAAAAACGAAAGTTAAGACGGTCATAGAAACTTCACCGAATAAACGTTGTCTCGATGATACCAGAAAAAACTGCTAGCGAAATCTTTAAGGGAGTCAAATTTGAAAAACAATGTAGCTGTTTTTAATAATCACATGAAAATTGTTTTATTCGATTTATTGTGGAACATATTTGGTCATCATTCTTTGCTTAATCCTCTAGAATTGCAAAGAGGAAATAGTTTATATATTCTGATAGAATGCTAGTACTATTCGATCTTTGATCGTAATTCAACAAAGTCTACCGCAGTCTGTAGCGGGCACGGGGAAAGGTTCTGTGTCTACCACGGTTTTCGATGATGTTTTAGGGTATCCGTCATGATGTTTATGGGGATTACAGGGGCAGTGGATCCAAATTTCTTCCGTATATACTTTAACAGATCTTTTATGTCGTGTTTCATAGAACAAGTCATCCACAAGAGAAAAGTCACATAAGCACATGACGATTCATTATTATATAATCTCATAAGCACTCGTTTGAAAACGTAATTTTTGCGAACACAGCAATACAAAATGTAACATAATTTTTTTCAAAAAATTTTGAAAAATTTTTCATGAAAATCGCATTAGAAGACCCACCTAGACAGTTTACATGCTCAAACATATTAGAAGGCCTGGGGTCTTTTAATGTGAGGGGGAGGTTAATAATTTTAACAGTTTTCCAGTCATCAATATATAGGTAGTAACTCATCCAATCCTTGAAACATTTACTTAAACATTCTGAATATGCTGGAGGAAGTTTTTTAATCATAAAATTTCAGATATTATCTTCACCAGTAGATTGTGTCGGTTTAAGCTTTTGAACTATTCTTTTTATTTCATCAGTAATCGTTAGAATTTTGTTGCATTCAGAAACGATTTGTGTATCATACGGATTCTTCTGGTCTACCTTCGGCAGATTATAATATGAATTATTGAAAATAAGTGTTCGCTATCATAGCTATATCATATAATGAACAATCAACATCAAATATATAGCGAATTACACATAGTAATTTAATACCAATTTCTTCAATAATCATAGGAAATATTTGAGTGCTTAATTGGACATACTTATTAATTCGATTCAATTCAAAAATTGAGACAACAGAATAATGAGGATGTGGATATGGGTCAGCTTCTCTTCATAGACACCAACATGCACACCCAAACTCATATTTTACTTATAAAGAGTATTTACAGTTTAGATCTCTCTAAGAATTTGGGATACAGAGTGAGCAATGATATGCGTTAGTTGAGTATCATGATCTGTTTTGTTTTCTAACTTCAAAACGAAATAGTATAATGATAATATTTCGATAAGTTAAGTCTCTATAAGCAAATAGTGATAGCGCAGATTCGACTTTGCTGCATATATCTCTCTAGGGGCAATGAAAAATAACTACTCATATTTTCATAATCACTGTTATTTTCGATAATTTTAATGATTTCTGTGATCAATCATGGTTTTGTATTCGATGTTCTTTATGTTGTTGATACCGTTATAGAAAAGAAAACATAGAATAGAAAAAAAGACACCGAAATATTCATTTCTAAACAAGTGGATAACTGGCCCAGTTCGCGATTCCACATTGGTTATTCTTGTTGCGACTCATCCAGATATAACCATTCATACCCCATGTATCACTCCAAGAATTTTTTACGATATAATAATCTTGCTTCGTCGCACCATTATTATATGTATCATATCCGACAACAGTCATTGTGTGAGACCATTCTTTAGTTGAACATGCCGGCTCATTATAAACACCTGATGAATAAAAATAGAAAGAATCGTGTAAATCATCAATCGCCACTCCGATTGGACCCACAGTAGCAATAGCTATTTGTAAGGCTGTTTCATTTCCTTTTGCAATATTAACAAAACCCTATAGGATGAATAAAAAAAAGAATACAAAAGAAAATGACATTTGTGTAATATTTACTATATCAGTTGCACCCACAGTCGATCGATTGAAGCGACATTTGCCTTCTATTGCTTCGTATGGATAGCTTGCTTCTGTATCCACACCTTTGTTGACTTTGATGTATTGAAATGCGGCATTCACCAGTCCTCCATTACAGCCTTGATTGCCAAATTTACCCGAACAATCCAATAGATTCTGAGCTGAAAGTCGGACCAGTTTGCCCGTCTTAAGAAAATGTTGCCCTTCCAGTGCACCCGTTGCTGTATAAGCCCAGTCTGAAGCACATTGACCTTGACTCTCAATTATTGAAGTTACAGCGCCTCTCTTACGCCAGTCTATAAGTACATTTTATCAAGAAGAGTTCAATTAAAAGATACTAACCAACAGCAGATGGTATTGATATATTTGATGGTGGAAGAAATATGTGTCGATCAAATTTAGTTGATATCTTTGTAGATAAACTCGTTTTAAATTTATTCGACATGGTTCGTACAATCTCGTCATGTGTCTAAATATGAAAAACAGTATACGTATTTTAGAAAAACCATTTCTCCTATAAATTTATGAAAGTAGAATCGCAACTGAACGCTTTTGATATTTATAGAACTAAGGAATCTTAATCAATGCTTGTGTCGGAAACTAAACAATTCACAGCCATACCATGTCAGCGAATTGATTAATTTTGAGTGTATAGGTATGCAGACCCAGATAAGCTTCAAGATTGTGTCGATTGATCATGGCAACTTTGTCGTCAAAAATAGTTCGACTAGAATGATTACAGGATTTAATAAAATAAATATTATCCATCCTAATTTACTTTCTTACCGATAATTTTCTTCTTCAACATTCACATACTGTTTTCTATGAACGTGCTTGAACAAATTCCAAAGTTCCAGTGGCGTAAACTCATTAGGTTTTGCTTGAGCAAAGCATAAAATAACGATAAGAAAGCAAAATAAATGCATGTCAAGAAATGACTCTGCACTAAGATGTGATAACAAGAAAAACTTTCACATACATTTTAAATGCGTAAAAGATAACAACCATAGCAGCCTCATCATGATGACTTTTATGACGTATTTGAATTTGTATTGCATACTGCAAACTATATTTCAATGTTTTTTCTTTCATATTCTTTCTCTAGTATTGTCTTTCACCCTTTCTTTTCATTTGTATAAAAAAGACGAAAATTTTACGGTGATATATGTTCAGATAGAGAGTTCTAGAACATCTACTTACTTAGAAAAATTCATAATTCGTAACCAGAATTTTTCCAACTTGCTCATATATATATATAGAGACTATACATCATCCTAGCCAAGAAAATACTAATAATAAACTGAACTCACGTGTATCAAAATTTACAACTTACGTGCTGTTTGAACAAACGGACACAGAAGGAAGTGGCAACTCACTCAGTGGTGTGAGCAATTTCAACAATGATTTTTCCAAAACGCAATTGGAATCTTAAAGATTCGAGGAACAAGTTACTGATGATGATGATATAGATTTACAAGTCTGAAACGAAATAGAATCAGAATCGTATGCTGAATTCATGAAGAATCATAGAATGGTCGAGGTAGTACTAGGCATGCATCGAACTCGAACGTTCGGGATCAATTTTCACTATAGTCAATTTTAGTTAGCTAATAAGAAGAATCGCATGTCACCCATAAGCAAAAGGATTCCGGGATTCATAATAGTAGGTTTGGAATAGTGAAATAACAGATTCTAAAAGCTAACTACCCTCAGAAATACTGTATTCTGAGCCAGAACTTGGCTAAAGTTAATGTTGCTTTCATGATTCCTCATGTATTTAAAGAACTGCTTAAGCAATTATCTACGTAATAGACATGAAAGGAAGCTGAACTTTTGGAACCAGTGATTTGGCTCATGTTGGTATGGTAGTTTGCCATAGTCTTAGGGTATGGGTGTTGGGGTGTGCGAGTGTCAGTGCTGAACTTCTCTTCACGCACCCACACCCACATCCTAAGCTGATCATTTATAATTAATTGGTAATTTAGTATATTCAAGTATTCTACAAATAATAAATACAAACCCTTATACATTGCTCGCATCGGATGGAAGACAACTGAAATCAGCTAGAAATTCAAATATTTTGTTTGAATTACTTAATATTGATAATTTGAATCAACTTAAGATATTGGTTATTCTCGATGCAATTGATTCAAGTATGGTCAACTAACAACATTCTTTAAAGGATTTAGTTTCTGTAATTATGGACAAAACTTGACTGACTGAGATTCTATTGAGTTCAAATATTAACTATGCTAATTAGGCACTAATTATCCGCTAACCAATGTTACACATATGAAATTATTAGTATTCCATATATGGTTGACTTAATAGAATAATTAATTGTCTGACTTCATTCTCACCAGACTAGTTTATTTAATAATTTACTAGTATTGAAGAAATTATTAAACTAGGTGTTGAATCAGTCAAACTGATGTATAAGTCAATTAAAATAAATTAAATGTATTAATAGAATGATCTGAAATTTCTCTAAGGATAACAATCATTTACAACTATTAAATTGCAAAATTACGATTATACTCATTTAAAATTATCAAACTCGAAATAATGCTATTTAAATTTACAAAAGTACATTTAATTAATAAATTACGTAATGCTTCTGATAAATTCTTTTTCGTAAATATTTTTCTATGAATCATTCGAATGAAATATTTGTGATGCCAACTGGATATGGCCTACGATCTAGCCGTTTTGTGCTGTTATTTTTCTTATTTTTAAAGTTTTTGCTTCTATTTGTAATGCAGAGCCCTGATGAGTGTTTCAATATATTAATAAATAACATGAAACACGTCGGCAAAATTAACTCTGCATTTCTTTTAAATTAATTCTAATTCAAGAATATTAATTTCGTTTGTTATTATTATTGACAGAGAGAATCGGTTGCTGAAAAGCAAAAGTTGAGACTAGAGGATTGATTTGTATTCTAGAAATATAAATCGATCTGTGTCGTATTGATTTACTTACGGCCACACCCTGACTGATGACTGGGTTCTGAAATCGTCTTGAGTTCAGAAATCACGGACAATAAGAAACACTTCTCAAGAAATCGAGAACATTTCGAGACAGGTAGCGAAAGCAAATGTTGTCAGTATTCTTTGTAGAATTCTGAACAATGTGTCATCCGAAGAAATTCCTCTAAATGCAAGCGTATGACCATTTTCCGTAATGATTCCAATCATTTATTTTTTTACATGCAAAATATCTATCTCTAATGATTTTGATGATTAATTATAATAGTTAATAGCAGCATACAAAGCTAGAGTTTCTTTTCATTGTTGAGTAAATGAGAATTCTTTAATAATTATTTCGACATTTTTACCATTCATCGGTGCATGGCCTCCCCATAACCACAAATTCATGTGAACTCGTATAGGTGTTTTTGGCATGTCTTTAGCAAATTTTCGTGGTGTCTCATAGGCGAAGAACCTTTGGACGGTCGGTGTGTCATGAAATCCATGTTGACTTCCAAAGATGACTTTGGTTGGTGTCCACGTGTACCAGTGGGTGGTTTGAGAGCCTGTAAGGTCGAATCGTTTGCTTTTAGATATACGTTTTGTGGCATTCAAGTGTCCTGGATAAGTCGTATAATGAATATTAAATGGCTTATGAATTTTTTCACCCCATGCAGCCACTTCAATGTCAATTTCATTCGATCCACTGGGACCACCAAAGGAGTAAAGGCCCAATACAATATTAGGATCGAATTGATCAATTCTTCCCTGTATTTTCCATTTGTATGTACCATACATAAGGTGAGCATCTGAAAACACTTCGGCACAACTCCATTTGCCTGTAGTCGTTGGAGCACTCACTTTGAGATGTAGCCTGTTTGCTGAGTCGATCCAGACATTGCTAGCGTTCCAATTATTTGAAGCTGTCACAAATACAATAACATCGTGAAAAAGTGAATATTTAAATCCAAAAGTGGAAGCATACCTGAACCAGCACCCATATTGTGATCAATATACCATTTATAGCCTGACCAATTAATGACGTATGGGGTAGTTTTTACCGTAACTAGTTAGGAAAAGAAGGAAGAATAACACTGAGATAATGTGCTAAATATGATCAAATTGAACTATTAATACTCACGGACAAGCACAAAACGCAGCACAAAAATGACTACTATTCGGTGTATGAAAACGCTGGCATTCTTCATGATAGAATATTTCAATCGATACTAATCTATAGCAGAGAAATAAAATGTTTTCTCGACAAAATTTAGTAATTTAAAAGAGTAAACATTTGAATAGCGTCAGCTTTCACAAATGTTGAAACACTTTCCCATCATCTAAATATTTGATTTTTTCGGGTGAAAGAAATAGTTTCCAGTCGAAAAATACAATTGATCAAAATAGTTACAGGAGGCTATGGAATTTTTTATGTCAATGTGAATCCTGAAAAAATAAATTAAGTTTACTCTTTTTTAATAACGGAGTCTAGGGTATCTAGCAAAGGAAGCATGTTATTCGGCATATGAAGGAGGGGAAGTATTAATGCAAAGAAAGATAATACATATCACTCTAATCCATATCTAATGACACTCCTCTTTATTTAATGGGGTATCTAAAATAAGTCATTAATATACACACATTCGTAGACCACCTATTTTCTCTATTTTATAGACGATGTGTGTAGGGCATCTTTCGAATTTTCCATTATCATATATTCCTATGAAATTCTTTTCTTCCGAAACTAGATCGACACTCTAAAAAACCAGGCTCTTTTACGAAACCTAAAAAGATTCTTCATGCAGATACCAAATCAGAACCTTTTCTGATTTCGTAACAAGCCACTTCGGGCTAGCTGTACTAAAGGTGTCATAAGAGATATTATGCACCGAACCTTTCAACAAAATCAAAAATAAAGTTTCACACAAACATCTGCATACTCTTAGGGTTAACCAAAAGTTCTAATAACGTTGCTGGTAATTTTATAAGCCAGTTAATATTAAAGAGTTTATTGCATCAATAGATAGTACAATGTGCTGTCTGTAATAATATATATAATAACTCTATTTTGGGTTCAGTTCTAATCTCCTTTCAGATAAAATTCAATTCGAATAAAAAGCATTTTTCAAAAAATGGAAAATGAATTTCGTCAGTACTAGATTAAAATTCGGACTTTTTTTGGAGTAGATGTAAAGACAATTCACGAGGATCTTACAACAATATTGTGGCCTGACGCACCATCATTTCCAATAGCTGGAAGATGGACGAATTGTTTGCGTGAAAGAAGAGAAGATGTGAATGATGGATATCGATTTGATTTTCCGGTTTCCGAGTTTATCAATGTAAATATTGAATTAGTATTATTGGCTATCAAAAATGATCCATATTCAACTTCTGACGAGATTGCAGCTGAGACTTCTCTTATAACAGTACAATAGAACAAATTATCCAAAATTGTCTAAACATGAGAAAAGGC